CAGGACGGTTCTGTGGAAGAGAAATCCGAGGGGGGTTACGCAGGCTACCTGAAAGCCATGCCAGCCTCACGACATTCCTGAGCTGTGAACTGTTGGAGGCTGGAAGAATACCATTGTACAGAAGATGCCGCGCTGGGGCGTACATTCGGCCTGGCCTTGAACAGAAATGTCCTTTCTTGACCTCGTTCGAATTCGTGACCTTTCTCCATCACACACGAACTTGCTTTCCTGCGTGTGGGTGCAGCCCTTGCGGGTCAGGGGCAGGCAGCGCGGAGCTGCACAGCTCCTGGGTGTGCGGGGGCACGGGGAGCAGGGCTTCTGGCTTGGGGACCTGGGCTAGCAATTGGTTTTCGGCTTGCAGACAAGTCCTCCTCTCCATTGAGCGAAGGAGGAGACTGCTGTCTCTCCTGAATACTCCAGGCATCTTGTCTAGCGTCAGAGCCTGCGAGCGAGTTTAGGTTTGAAACGAGAGCGACTGTTCCTCGCTCTTGTTGGTGGCCAACGCTAGCTAACTTCAGGCTTTTCTCGGGATGCCAGATGGAGCTGCCACACAGAGCCGGCTCTGCAAATCCAGCATTCAATGCCGAGCAGGACCCGGCACCTCCTAAAATAACAGGCCCAGCTCCCTCTTCGCCTTAAGGTAAACCTGGAGAAGCTCCATTGCTGGCAGCTGGGTTATACAGGAGGAGAACCAGACCAGCTCCATCTGAGAGATGATGCGGAGTTTAAAATGTTGCTTTTCTCCATTTCTTGGAGCCTGCTCAGCCCTACTGAGCCACCAGCCTTCTGCACCAACTGCACTCATCCGTGCTCTGGGACAAGGGAGAATCAAAGGGTGACAGAAATCCCTTTGTCAGCTGTGCCTGGGAAGGAGGGTTACAGAGCTATTAGCGAGCACAAAGAGGGAACAGATTCTCTCCTAAGTGCTCTGGGGACAGAGATTTAAATGCTTAGCTCCCATTAATGTTAATGTGAATTACAGAGGTCTCTTCTTACTGCCTTGAAACAAGAGCATTGAAAAATAGGCCAGCTTTCTGCAAAGAGCAAATTCACTTGATTTTAAGATGCCGCTAAACGGAATTTTTCTTCATTTCACACTCATTAATTCCTCTGCCTGTGCTAGCTCAGGGTGGGACTCTGCTCCGGTCCAGTGCCTATGAGCTGGCTGGCCCACTGCACACTGGAGGATGCTGGGTCTCCATCCACTGTCCTGTGCTCTGCGGGGGGATAGTGGTTCCCAGAGCGGGGTTCCCAGCCCTGAGAAGCTCCAAAGATTTTGTTTCCACATGGAGATGCAAAGTGCGACGTTCCAGCTTTTCGCAGCAAGGGGAAATCTCTCCATCATGTGTCAGAAATACTAACAGTATCGTTTCCTGCAATCTGGTACAGCACCTGCAGGAGACAAGGGTTGAGGTCCTTCCAACCTCCTGCCCCTGCGCGGAGGACTCCTGGGCCTCCATCTCCTGCTCCCTCCATGTAGCTCATACGCTTGTGGGAAACCTGTGACTCTGCCTTCTGTGTCTGGTGATTAAATCCTTCTCCGCAGCGACAGACTGCATTAAAGCTTGGGTTTGCTCCAAGGGTCATGGAAGGTACCTGTAGAATTTACGGACCCAATCAGTCCTTTAATTTCTCTCCGCAGCCTCTGACTTATTAACATAATAACAGAAACCAGAAGGACTTTGTTTTTCTGTGGCATACGGTTATGAATCACGTTGTCACTGTGCCTGCAGCGCTGCCCTTAATGAGTACATTCAGGCATGCCCGCGAGTCCCCGCGCACATTCCCATACGCGCTCCGTTGTCGTATAGCATTAATTAACCTTGTTTAATGGGCTAACAGTGATGGCTTGCAGCTCTGAGTCCCCAGCGGGGTGACTCTTGCCATAAGCAACAGGGATGCAGCGGGAGAGCTGGGCAGATGTTTGTTTCAAAGGGGACGTGTCCAGGAACAGGTCTCCGCTCCGCTCGGTGTGATGGGAACCCTTCCTGGAGATCGGCACAAAGCTCACGCTGATGAAAAACCAAACCTTAGAGCTCCTCTGTCCGGTGGGGAACCTGTGGCCACCGATAAATAGGAACTGGCATCACCAGCTTTGCACAGGTGATGCTAGCTCTTACTGCACATCGCTGTGAGCTGGGCACACTGGTGTTGGCACCCCATTCTCCATGCTGGGACGAGGCATGGGGCAGGGTGTCCACTGTGCACCTCACCAACCTTACGATTATGGAAAAAATACAGTTTCCTGGCTAGTTCATGCCCCTCACCTGCAGGCACTGGTGACATCAAGAACATCTCAAGCAGAGGGAAAAGCTGAGCTGAGAAGGGGGATGCAGTGTAAGACCGCGGGGAGGGATGCTCTGAAGGCAATGGACCATCTTTTTCTTTTTGTGGACAGGCTCAAAGCTTGCTGCGCCATGAAAGCTGTTGTGGTGTGAATCAGGGGGTGTCCAGGGTGAAGGAGCTGCACATGGACAGTGCACATGGGCGTCTCTTTTAGGGTGATTTCAAGGATTCCCAAGAAGGCAAACACACACACACTGACTATAAGGGGAAAAAGCAAGCATTTATTAACTACAGATGTGCGTTATGCTAAGGGTATCTTGTAAAGCAAATTAAGGTACCAGCTCGAGGACTGTGAGGAAGATGGACCATCCGTACATTCTTGTGCCATCTTGTGCCGCGAGCTCAGCCCAGCAATCGGTAGGTGCCAGCTTTACGTGGGCGTCCCCACGGAGGCAACAGTGGCCTCGCCATACACCAGCCCAATGCTCTTCAGAAAAATCCCGGTATTTATACATTTGCAGAGGAACGGGTTTCAGCACATGTGGACAGTGGGTGCCAAAACACTCCTCGGTTGTAACATAGGGAGCCTATGACACATGTGCTCGCTGGCCAGGCGCGCTGCATGAGCCATAGCCACCCTGTCTGTTGGTTCATGGGCTTTGTACGTGCGGCATCTTGTCACTGTCCAGCAGTCACGCACCGATCATGCTCACAGCTGTGCTGTGCAACAGCCTGCTGCCCGTCCTCCCCCGGTATTGCTCAGCTCTCTTACCTCCGTGGTCAGCATTCCAAGCAACAGGCAACAAACCATCCATTTTCTGTCCTGACTGGGTTTTCCTCGGCTATCTACCTCTCCCCCAGTGTGTTCATCCGCGGACCAAAATCCCATCTTTTAACCCATCCGTATACAGCGTCACAGAGCTCTTACGAAATTTTAAGAGCACATTTAAAATGCTTTCCCATTACGAAAGCCTCAAAGAGTTATGTTGATATAAAGATCCCGTTTCTGAAATATAAGTCAGTAGAAAAAAACGCCTTCCAAAGACTTTATTAAAGGAAAAAAAACCACCATGCTGCAATTTTAATGAGGAGCTTGTAAACATAACAAACTCCTACTGATTTTCCCTATTAATTGCCTGCGTTATGGAAGACGAGGGCCCTGCAGCGCTCGGTGCTCAGCAAACCACCTTGCGGGGCTTAAGACGTCTTCCTAAATCTGGGAGGGCTGGAGCCCTGCGTGGGCTGCGGAGGGCGAGCATGGAGCAGGGCGATGGAGGCTTTTGCAGGGTCACAGCAGGGAGGATGAGGCAGGGCTGGGTTGTCCCTGCGGTGCGTGAGGCTGCCAGTGCGTGGGGAGCAGCTCGGGCTTCAGCCTCGGCTCTCCTCCAGCCTTTGCTCCGGGAAGGGAGGGAGGAGAGAGATGGGGAGACCTGCTGAGCTGACTTAGCAATCCCATTTTTATTAGAGATGCATTCGCTGATTAGCTCCACATCCTAATGACTCGGGCACGATAAATTACAAAGGAAATGCAGAAATCGCTAGGGTTATATTAACATCTCCTGGGGAAGCAGCAGTAAGGTCATTTTCTGGGCCATTAAATGGTCGCCATTTGTTTGCTACCTTGTCTCTTTGATAGCAATTTTTTTTTTTTTCCTTGATTTCAGCCCAGCGCCATCTCAGCAGGCGCTGCGCTCCAGTGACCTCGCATCCCTTCTGCACCATCACTCCCCCTGCTCCCCTCTCCCATCTCGCCTCCTCCTGCTTCCCGCACCGGTGTTTGGGGGAGCACGGCACAACGGGGCAGGTGCCAGCATCCTGATCACAGGAGGAATGGTCGCATTAGGTTTTTAAAGATCTGGGGACATCAGCCATCTTCTGGGCTCCCTTCTGCGCTTGCCGCAAAGAAGGATCACACCTCAAAACCTGCATGGTGTTTGTAGGCAATTTGCAGCCCGCGAAAGAGGCAAAATCTCTCTGAGAGGTAAATTGTCATGGGTGGTTTGCCCAGCTCTTGAGATAATAACCCTTACTGAAATCACTGCAAAAGGGGAAGATTCCTGAGTTAGTGTTTGGAAAGTGCCACAAAAATGAAAAAGCACAAGGCATAATCGTTATTATTAGCATGTTATGCCACTCAGCTCAGTGCGGGCCGGAGCAGGCTGTGGGTGTGCGCTCCCACCCCTAGCACCGGAGGAGGAGGGAGCAGTCAGTATTTTGCGTGGCAGTGGAAGATCCTGCTTTACCTTAGCTTTCAGGAGGGACTGGGAGATTTTCAGTCTGATTCAAGTGGCCTGACCTGTGCCCTTTTGCTGACCACCCTCAGCAGACGTGGGTCAGATCCTACAGGATTTTTGGTGTCTGGCTCCCTGGAGACCACAGATTCAGGGGAGGTAGCGACCGGCTCACTTTGCGACCCAGGATGGATGTGGCTTGTCCCTGATCACCCAGGGGAGCCTGTGGAAGAGGTGGACACTGAATATCTGCTTCCCAAACCTGGGGCATCTGTGATGATGGTTAACACTCCTTTTCCTCTCCCTACACTCAGGGCAGAAGGGCAGAAGGACACCTCGATGCATTGCTGAAGGCTGCACACCCTGGGAAGGCAGTGCTGGGCTGCAGTCCATCCCCAGCCCTAATCGCACACACATCAGCTCCTCCAGCACCAGGATGAGTCCAGGACATGGAAATGACCTCGCTCTTTCTTCCCCTTGCAGAGCCAGCTTTCCCAGGCCCTGAACGGGTTGTCAGACAGAGCCAAGGAAGCAAAAGAGTTCCTGGTCCAGCTCCGCAACATGGTTCAGCAAATCCAGGTACTGTGTCTCCTGGCGGAGGAACAGCCCCTTCCCACCAGGATGAGCTGTTCTCTGCGATCCTCTGTCCCATCTCCCCAGCTTGGTTTGGTGGGTGCTCTCCCAAAGGGGCTCACACCTGACTTTTCGTATTACCCCCTTGCAGCCTTCCCAAAGACTGCTCCTCCCAAAGCTGCCTGTGTCACGGAGGGAGCAGCAGAGACCCCAGCCCTTCCCGTCTCTGCCATAAGTAGATTCAAGGATGTGGCAGGATGGACCAAACCCGTTTCTCACCTGCCACCACCGCATTTGCCACGAGCCAAGGGCGTAAGCACCCCATGTGCTAATGCTGTGTGAATCGCAGTGTTGCAGCTACACATATAAAAATGGCCCATGTGGTACTATAAAAAAAAAAATCAGGTTTCCCGACTGAAATGGACACATGCCCCAGGCTGTGATACTCTGCTCTGACCCACAGGAGAACAGCGTGGAGTTCGAGGCCTGCCTGGTGGCCCAGTGTGACGCTCTCATCGACGCCCTCAACAGAAGGAAAGCCCAGTTGCTGTCCCGGGTCAACAAGGAGCACGAGCACAAGCTAAAGGTGAGCCCCTACCCGCCAGCTCGGGTGGTCAGAGAGCTTTCTGCAGGGTTCCACCAGACAGGGATGAGGATTGTGATGCTGTTTGTTGGGGTGAAGCGCTGCAGGGGGAGTGGGGAGGGCACTGGAAAGCTGCTCTTCTTGCTTTTCACATTAGCTAAATTCCATTTTGCTGCAGATGACCAGCCCGCTCCCAGCGTGACAGGCCCTGAGCAAAGCGCTGCTTCTTCCAGGTGGTGGTTCCCACTGAATTACTCCATTACTGGGCCAATTACTAGTCATTAGGTCAGCAGAGCCATGTGTGCAGCATCCACAGGCTGGAAAAAGTCCTTGCTCATGTCCCATGTTGCTTCCGAGCTACTAGCATAATCCTAGCTGAGTGCCTGTAACTTCTGCTGGCTTCAGCTGAAGTTCTGGGGCACTTGGTGTCATGAGATGCCACTTTCATCATCAGGCAGGAGCAGAAATTCTGTATTTTCTATACTTGGTGAGCACCTCATGGCCTCAAGGTGGTGGTTGCACTGAGAGGTGAATTGTTGGTGTTGGGGGAGCTGAGATGCAGCTCTCACCATGAGCGTTGAGCTGGGGCATTTCGCATCAATGTCACTTTGTACTTCCAGAGTCCCTCTTCCAAGGGCATTTCAGTGTTCTAGCTAGAAGCATCTGTGTGTCTTCTCTGGCTCCTCTTGCATACCCCCCAGCCTTGCTTTGGGCCACCCAGGAGGCTCCCAGAGGAATTCCTGGACCTGCCTAAAATGAGGGAGGAGGCCACCAGCCTCTGGTCTGCCTGCAGACGATGGGCACTGCAACACGAGGGCTTGTGAGCGTTTCCATCAGGAGATGGACAATAGCAGCTTTGTGGGACCGAGCCCAGCATCAGTGCTCAGACAATAAAGCACAACCCCAACCAGGCATGCTATGCTGCCAGCCTGTCTTCTAGGCACAGAGAGGACCCCCACTGCCTGGTGGGCTCTCTTTCCCTCTTCCCCTTCAGGGCACGGTTAATTAAATTCTCACAAAGCTGGGCAGCACAAAGCAGTTTCGCGGCTCAGCGCAACCCACGGAGGCCTTTCACTTTTTGGCCGGAGGAAAGGATCTGCATCCCACTGCTTGCTCTTACTGTATCGCCTGTCCCCCCAACACACGTACATGTACATCCCACCTCCATCCACTCCTACTATCAGCCGGGCTCTGTCATTAGGCAGGCCTGGCCCTTAAAGAAGAAACAGCTCCTGGGTTTCAGACTGGACTCTTAAAATCAGCCCTTGAGCCTCCTTCCTTGAAGGACTGAGCTCTTGCAGCTCCCCAGAAGCTGTGGGAAGGGACCTGCACAGGCAGGAAGGGCTCCGTGGCGTTGCGTGCTCGGGCAGACGTGACACACGAGCCTGCATCCAGTTATCAGTAGCATCACAGCAGCTGGTGTTTAAAATCCAGAAGCTGCTCCCCTCTGGTCTGCAGCCTGTGGAGCGTTGGTCAGATTTTTAGCCTGAAATTATTCAATTTTCCCTTTTAATTCTTGCGGGGATGGAGGAGGTAAGTAATAAACACAGTGGTGCTGCCTTGGTCTTAGGCTTGTATGGGGAGAGTTGTGCAGCCGTGACCTATCCGAGTGCCAGCTGAGGTCCTGTACGCTGAGATTTGCTTCCCGGGGTTTCAGCATCGTCAGGCTGGGACACACAGCCTTGGCACACAGCCCAGGTGAACGTACACCCTTCCCCTCTGGCTTGGGGATGGGGACAGAGAGGGTCTTCCCTGCTTTCACAAGCTGCAGACGGAACAGGGGGTGCAGGAGAGTTTCAGCCTTGTCGGGTACCTCCCTGCTGTCCTCACTGTGCACGCACAGGGTCCCCTGGCCACGCCAGGCCACCGAGGCGAGCGTTCGCCACCAACCCTGCAGCCTGTCCTCCGCATCCCCTTCCCCAGCACTGCTGTTGTCCCCACCTGCTCTGTCACCCAGGGAAAGGGGCTGCCCGGGTCATCGCTGCGTGGGGGTTTCCCCTTTGCCCCCTCCGAGGAAATCCCTGGACAAAGGCAGCACCTGCAGCTCCAGCTGGGCACGGACTGGGCTGGCCTCGCTCAAAGGGTCAGGGGAACGTGAGGAGACATGAAAGGGAAGCAGCATTGTGCCTGGAGCAGCTGCCTCCCGACGGGACATCCTTCTTGCTGCCTGAGGCTGGAGGGGATAACAAAGCCCCCAGGTCTCGCTCCGAGGCTCTGGAGCACTGGAAGTGTTGCAGAGGGAGCAGGAATCCTTCCACGGTGTCGGGAAGGATGGTGCGCAGGGTGCGAGACTGTGCAGGAGAGGGGCCACCTCCACCCGCCCCGTCCGCAGCAGCATGCTGCTTGCTCAGCGCCATCTCCTCCGTGCCATGCCCTGGCACGCGCTTCGCACTGAATTTGGACACATGGTGGGTCCTCCTGCAGGACCATGGGACTTGTCCTGGTTGACGTTCACATTAGGACGGGACAACACTGGCTGCTGTCTTGTGGTGATAGCTTCACCCCTTCCCACAGGAGACCAGTTCAGAGCAGCCTAGCCTGGCCTGCGTGTCCACTTGTCACTGCCCAGAGCATCTCGGCCAAGGAGGAGACGAGCAGGTAGTGAAATAGCTGTGCCACCCAGGAGCCCTTTGAGATCCGAATCCATTGCTCCAGCAGCTGGCGTGGAGCCACAGCACCCTGGCTGCAGCCGATCTCTCCGTGGGCTGCCCCTCCTGCCTGCTGGGAGGTTGGCCGTCACGGCACGGTATGGCATCGCGTGAGCGAGGAGGAGAGGCATGGAGGGACAGAGCCTGCCGGCTGGCGCGGTGCCATGGGCGCCTTTCACTGGAGAGCCCGAGTTCCCATTTCCGTGCGGCACCCAGAGTTAGGGTCAGCTCGACTTTGGGACTGACCTACTTTGGCTTGACACATATTTCATGCAGGCGGGCACAAATCCAGGTTTGCCTGTGGGCCAACACTAATTACTCTAGAGCGGGGAGAGGTTTGGGAGGAAATGAACTTGGAAGGGACATTTCCCTGCCTTTCCCCAACCTCCCCCTACACTTGGATTCAGATTAAGAACCTGGGCTTTAAAAAATAACATCTGGAGGAGCAGTGGGGCCAGGTGCCTGCTCCATCTCCAGGACAGATCTCCTTGGCTGTCCTGCTCCTCATTGCTGGCCCTGGTTTTCAAAGGACCAGTATGGTCTTCCCCAAGGGAAGATGCCCTACAGCACAGGCTGGTTTGTGCAGGGGACACAGAGGTTTCCCTGCAGTGTTGTCCCAGGAAGAAATCTCCTCAGTCCACAGCACACATAGACTGAGCTCTGCTTGCAACTCCTTTAAGGTCTCAGCAGTGTGGTGGACCATTCTGGCCTTCTGCTGGCCTTCAGGTCATAGGATGTCTTTGGGCTGTGATTTCACCACAGTGCTTTGGCTGCAGAGCCCTTGTAGGCAAACAGCAGTTGTCACATTTCCTGGGGGAGCTAATTATATAGGAAACGCTGACCAAGGTCTCCTGCCCATAGCACTGGATCTCCAGAGATGAAATGCTGGTCCATGATCCTTCTTTAGGGGGTTACAGTCAGGATTTTCCAGGAAGCCCAAGGGAACTTGTTGTCCCCTGTTGGATTAGGTCACTGGTGATCAGGATTGGTGTGAAAGGATGAGAAACAGGACAGAAGCACAGGTTCGCTTTCTTGTACCATACCATTTCTGTATGGAAACACCAGAGAGGATGCACAGGTCAGATAAGCTCATCACGAGGTGCATTGTTTCCCAAAGATGCAGATGCCACACTGCTGCTTTCTCTTGCAAATCCCTTCACACTGCACCATTTTCCCCTTGCCGTGGTGTCTGAGCACCTTGGGAAGGGCAGCAGCAGCAGGAGCTGGGCACTGAGGGCAAGGAGCTCTGCAGAGCTGTGATCGGGCTGCAGGGGATGCCTCTGGTTTTCTGATGTCCCTCAAGCTTTCCTCTTATTCTGTTGAAGAGCTGGATCAAGTCTGTCCTCCATAGCATCTGTCTATGTGCCATGCTCAGTGGCTCTGCACTGGAGACAAGGTCTCCGTATCGCACCTTTCCACACTTGTTGGAAGAAGCCTTTGATCAGAACGGGCTTGTGCAAGCCTCCAGGACGTGCTGTCGCCAGCATCGCACAGGGTTGTTAACGCAGCAGCTCTGCTTTTCCCGGCTCCAGCCTGAGCCTCCTCTCGCAATAGCAAGAGACAAGTCACCATGGAAACATCCACCTGGAAATGCTCTGCTCCGAGGACGAGTGGTTGTGGGATTCAGCACAATCGAACCATCGGGATCTGTCCTGGAGGTTTTTCCATCTGGGATTTTTCCATCTGGGTTTGCAGCACGGCGGCAAAGCGCAGCAGCGCTGCTCCCCATAACACAACCGTGCAGGTGACCGTACCCTGGCCACGGAGTGCCTGGGATGAGGAGGCTCCGTGTCTTCCATGTGATGTCCCCAGCAGGACTCATCCTGGATGCTGAGGAGACGAGGTTCAAGTAAGGTTGAGTGCCTTGAAAACAGGTTATCTAGCCAAGTACTAAAAAGAGGAGGAAGGTGAGGAAGACATTTAAGTAGAGATGAGTGGAGATGTTACTGCCTTCTAGGAGCTGTATTAAAATGTAAATTATAGTTAATGTCATCTTACGGGGAAGAAAAGCTCTTGAAATAAATTTCCTATTTTAAGGTAGTAGTGAGCTGCTGTGAGTGCACAGCAAAAGTCCTTTTTATAGGCTGTAATTAGCAGCCAGGTTCTGGCTGTTGCCTCTTTTGGTACCTAAAGGGAAAAAAAGGCATTTGATAAAAACGACCACAAACAAAATGTATGGAGCTGCCCAAATCCCCTCACCAGCTGAGCCATTAGCCTTTTCCCATTAGCCCCTCCCGTGTAGTTTCAGGAGAGGTCTGTAAACTGTCTACCTCCATGCAGAATTCATGGCAGCCTGGTTTTCCTGGCGATCTGGTGAATACTGCAATCGAAATACTCTTCATTACTGGGGTAACAGGGAGCTGAGGTACCCCAGGGAGTGGAAATCCCTGATGCATGAGGAGAACTACAGGATGCTTAAAAAACAGCGTGGAAAACTTGTGGGCTTCACTGGCCCCACTGGGTTTAGACCGTGCTTTCAAAGGTGTGGGAGATGTTTACGTCTTATTTTTAAAACCTTTCATTTCCTTAATCAAAGTGTTTCATGGAGTCTCGCTGTTCCTGTCTGTGTCCCATTTCTCTTGTGCGGAGCGCAGAAACTGTAAAGCCATGAAGCCCCACTAGGTCCCAACCAAAGATCCCTCACCTTGCCTTGAAAACAGTTTGTTGGTGGTGAAGGGAAACATAGATTTCTACTGTTGGCTTGCCTGCTGTGTAGATGCTGCAATTAAACTGCTGTTTCATGCTCTAGTTCTCGAGATGAATAGGTGCTTGGTCCCCAAAGGGGATCACAGAGTTACAGAAGGGCAGGATCGCTGGGGCGAAAGGTGTGGGCTGGGACAGAGACGCAGCCGCTGCTTCGGGTGCAGTTTCTGAGCACCTAGAGCAGGCTGCCTTGGGCTGCCTCCGGTTGGGTTTTGAATGTCTCCAAGGCTGGAGACTCCACAGCCTCTCTGTTCTGGTCTCTGACCACCTTTAAAAAAAAAAAAAGAAAAGCTTTTACTTATGTTTAAATGGAATTTCTTGTATCTCAGTTTGCACCCACCTGCATAAAGATTTATGTAGCCTCTTAGCTACATAAGGAGACCTCTTACCAACCACTGCAGCAAGCACTTCCACTCCGGACCAGACCTTCATTAGCAGGGATAATCTGCTAGGAAGCTCGGTAATTAATCAGCCTGGAGCTGCCTGGCGCTGGCCTGACCTCACCCTGCTGCCAGGGAATGAGCAGGGTAGAGGGGCAAAGCCGGGGCCGGCATCTCTGTGTCCCGGCTACCTCCTCCCAGTGCCAGGAAGCCCAGCAGGTCTCACGCTGACACCAGAGCAGTGGTGGCAGGTCCCCTTGCCTCGCCGGTAACACCGTCTCTTGGCCAAGTGGGTGCCGGGGGAGCCAGCCACATGTCCAGGACTGTCCTGGGACACCGTGCCTGTCTTCACCAAGCAAATGCTGCTTCTTGGAGGCTCATGTCTGGCTGGCAGTAGCAGATGGCAATTCTGCTGGTAATACTTCTATTCGGGCAGGGAGAGGCTCACAAATTCATTATCCTGGGCAAACCAGACAGAGATTTAAGCTGCAAAGAAGATAAGAAGATTGTTTTACCAATCCCATCTTTACTGTCTTCCTGGTGGCATGTGCATTTCCCCGGAGAGGGGTCTCACATGAAAGAAAGCGGCTGCTTTTCTGGGTGTTCAAGGTGGGATGCCCACTTGCCCATCTGCAGCCCAGCAGGCAGGGAAGGCAAAACCTTTCTCTGGTCAGTGCAGTCAGTTTATGCTCTAACAGCAAGGTTGGAGACTGCAGGCTGGGCTCATCTCACACTTAGTGGTAACACCATGATCTGCAGCTGAAACACCCAACATCCACACAGCGGACAACCCTTGCAGGAGCAGAACAACTCCCCAGCACCCTCTCTTTGGGCAGAAGAGATCAATTTAACACAAGAGGCTGCTATGCGTTGCATGGCAGGGGCTGTAGGTTGCTGCAAGGCTTTGCACCCCCACTGTACCTTCTGGATCCCATCCTGAAGGACTGACCATCCCCATGGAGAAAAGAAGTCCAGGGGCTTGCCCATGCCTTTGGCAGAGGTCAGTGTAGGAGTCCAGATCTCCAGGACTAGCTGTTGCCTCTGCTCCATCCCAGTGCACTCAAATGTTAGAAACTGGCATCGAATGAACTCTTCCCTCTAATGACAGCGTTTGAGGCAAAAACTGGTGTGTGCTGATCATGCTGCTCGCTAGCCCCATCTCAGAGTGATCCAGCATCTCTGCAAGACTCCATACACATGTCTTGGTCTAGAGGAGCAATATGGGAGCTCCCCCTGCTGCCTTCTCCACCTTGCACATGGGGTGTGCTGGCTGCAGCCCCCTCCCCAGCGCCTGGGCTTGCTCCGGCTCCCCTCTGCCACAGGCTGGAAACATCAGGCTGGGATTGCTAAAAGCAGCAAGGAGTGGCTGCTCCCTAAAAATAAGAGCCGGCTAGGAGAGTGCTTTGTGGCATTTCACAGAAGCAGATACGTTGTCCCAAGTTGCAAGACTGGTAATTCTTTTCTTCCTGTTAGGTGATTAAGTAGAGGTGATTAAATTATAATTAAGCAACACATGATGTGATTGATTGCCCTGCAGGAGTCATCACCCCCCCTTGAAACACAGGTTCATTCACCGCAGGAGGCTGACATGTGCTTCGTTTCACCTCCCCATCCCTCAGACCAGTAGGGATGCTCACAGGAGATGGTCCTCAGCCCAGGGTGGTCATTCGAGCGCTGCTGTGCCTATGGAGCAGTGGGCACATGGGCGCTGGGATTCACCGACTGCGGTGCCGAGGAAACAACTGTGCTTTCAGAAATGTTAATTGCTGCTTATTGCAGTCTTTTCTATCGCACTGCAGCTGCAGATGCTGATGCAAAGCTCATCTTTACTGTCTGTAACATCCTGAATAGCTGTGGTCTCCAGAGCTGCATAGCTTTGTTCAGTCCTAGTGGAGAACTTTACACAGCTTTAAAGCTTCTCCAGAAAAAAGAAAAAAAAAAAAAATTGCCTGCCATGAGCACATTCCTCTAAAGCATAAAATCTCTCTTCCTGAGCTGCTCTGCCAATCTCCCATGACAGAAATCGCACTGACACCGGGTGCAGACCTGCACTGTCTCCTTCTGCAGGGATTCAACGTGAGGAACCAGCCAACCTCCAAATACACCCTCACGGTGTCAGAGCCTGAACCCTGTCCTCCCCGCCGTGTTTCAGGGAAGGTCACCAGAGCCCGCGGGCACCGGCCAAACCACATGCTTGTTTGTACTCTGCCGCTGGGATTCTGAAACACATTTCCCATGGGTGCAAGAAGACGTGCTTTAGCATGCAGGCTGGGCAGACCCAGGCAGAGCTTGGCATGCTGTAGGGAGCCCTGTCACAAGGCATGCAGGATTTATCTCCTCTCACTGGCACACCTCTCCTTCTGAGCTCATCCCCAGACTCCTGCTGCAGCCAGTGGAGGAAATGAGGCAATTCTGCAGCATGGCCCATCTCGGCTGATGGGAAGATGAGCATCTCAAACAGATCGGTAGTCAGAGCTGAAGCTGGGGGAGGTGGTGCATTCGTTCCTCTTGGAAATACCAAAATACCAGGCTCGCTCCTCACTCGGGGCGGTTGGGTGCAGCTGCCCCAGAGCCAACCCCGCAGCCCGGCTCCATGCCAAGGATGGATAGGGCATTCCCACAGGGGCTGCAGCAGCACCTGTGTATCTATGGAGGTAGGCATTTGCTTTGCATAGAGTTCATAAGCTGTCATTTGGAAGCTGTCTTAATTAAAGACAGAGCAAGGAACTTCCCTACTGCTTTGAATAATTACGTGGGTTAATAATTTTGAGCTAAACGAGGCTTGTTGTTGTTCCCCAGGTTTTCAAGGATCTGGAATTTGGTGTATGAGTCTTGGCCAGTTCTTTTTCTCTTCCTTTGAGTCTTTGTCTCCCTTCGTGTTGCCCTGACCCTGTCCCTGTGCCCACACAGCACCAAAGCCCGTTTGCTCCCCGTCTCCCAAACCTCTCTGAGCCACGCTGCTCTCATTGTCCCATTGCAGGTGGTGCGAGACCAGATTTCTCACTGCACGGTCAAGCTGCGCCAGACCACGGGCCTGATGGAGTACTGCCTGGAGGTCATCAAGGAGAACGACCCCAGCGGCTTCCTGCAGGTTGGTGTGGAGCTGCTCACGTCTGGGCTACGAGGGGAGCAGGAAAGGTATTGCACAGATGAGGGCCTGGGGTAATGCAGCAGAGTCAAAGGAGTTACACCCAGGATGATGTCCCCAGCTTTTCCAGCCATAAAATCAAGGGCCAACCTCTCATCACCTCCAGGTTCACAGAGAAAAGCAGAACCAGGCCAGGGACGTTTCTTACTCTGAGCAGAGAAATAGAGGGTTGCAGCAAATGGTGATGTATCTTCGAGGCAGTGATCGTAACGTGCTGTCTCGTGGCTCTCCAGCGAGAGAAGGACATACAGCACTTAAGAACTGCATCTCATCGTTCATTCCTGGGCTGGTCCCGTTGGTACTAGACCCTGCCTTTAAAATAGTCCCCAAAACTCCTGGGGTCCCTCTGGCAATCTGAGGCTGCAGCGAAGGGCGGTGCTAGAAACCACATGTGATGTCCCAACCTTTGGCAGTCAGGGGCAGAAACGGCAGCCTGGGAGGCACAGGGAAGGAGGAGAGCAGGGGAGGGACGAGGCACAGCGTGCAGCCCAGGTGGCCCTCGATAGCTGAGGCTGCTCCTTGCCACCAGATCTCCGACGCTCTCATCAGGAGAGTGCACTTAACTGAGGACCAGTGGGGAAAGGGGACGCTCACACCCCGGATGACCACGGACTTTGACCTGAACCTTGACAACGCCCCTCTGCTACAGTCCATCCATCAGCTCGACTTCGTACAGATGAAAGGTAAGAATATTTCCAGTGCCTTTCAAAAGCCCATCTCTGCTCATGCCGAGTGCTTCCATGCAACTCATCACAGGGAAGGGGCAGGAGAGGAGAGTTTCTCATCTTGTCCCAGCAAGACTGGGCACCGCAGACCAAGAGTTATGCCCATTCCTGTGTATTTTGCACCCCTGGGCCAGCCATCTGCCTCCCTGTCTCAGATCCCTGGGCAACTGTGTGCCAGATGAAGGTGCCAGGAGCTTGGTTTTGCCTGGCAGTGCATTAGAAAGCACTCTGCAGGTTGGGACCGGGGTCTCAAGAGCAGCACGAGGCACTTCCCAAACCTCTGCTCACACACGCTCACTTGCTCAGTGCTGAGCAGCGTCTGGCACAGGCCAGCTAGCGAGCTGCCTGCTGTGAGCAGCCACATTGTCCGTCCAAACACAAAGGCACAAAGAGCCACTCCACTTATCTCGGCGTCTTCGCTCTCTCCCCTCTCCTCCCTGTTGTCTTAGACCTTCATTTCAGTTTTAATTTCCTCCTCATTCTCCGTTGTCTCTGTGCGCACTCTCCCGAACCGCAGAGAGCCACTGCGGTTGCATCGCTCTGCAGGAAGCAGAGAACCGCTGCGACCTGTGAGCAATTTGTGACTTGGCCAAGCCCTGGGAAGCTGACAGAAGATGCACATGGGCTGTGACACAGGGAAGCTCAGGAGGACATCAAACGTAGGCCTATACCTTCAGGTGGTGCAAATGAGCTGCCTGGAGGAAAGGCAACCAGCTGCGGGTCTGGCATGGCTCTTCATTGCCATCACGGCTGGATTTCCTGACTCGGGAGCCATTTGCACACACCAGCATTTCTCAGCGGTCAGACGCAGGAAGGCTGTTGACCACACGCTTCCTCTGTAGAGATAATGAGCATCTTCAAATAATGGCCCTGCTGGTATTTGCTGCAGTGAGAAGGGTGCATTGGGCATGGCTGCTGGGAGCGCTTGTAGTTGCTCATCATTAGCCAGGCCATTAATTTGAAGTGTCAGTAACATTTTTTGGTAGCAAGGGGAGCCAAACCCAGGGAGGGCTGGATTACTGTTTTTTTACACACCCGTCATGGAGATGTTAGCGTGTTCCTACCCTCCCTTCTTTCAATTTAGCCCAGAGGGTTATTTTTAATTAATAAGAGCAAATCTGCTGCTAGTTTAGCTGCCTGCCCTCCTCTGCGGAGGCAGGGCAGAGCTGACAGAGGCTGTGCTCTCGTCTCACCCTCGCTGTGGAAATAAGTTGTTGCATTTTGTAGACTTTGCAGAAGGTTGGGTTTGGATCCCAAACACGTGTCACAGCACTGGAGGAGGCAGGGCAACACCAGAGGTCTCAATAAAGAGCAGAGGTGAGCAATAGGTACAGGGCATCCCACATCAATTGCCAGCACATGCTGGGCACGAGCAGCATCTCATCTGCTGTATTGGCTGTAACACAAGGGCTTTCTCCACTCGGTTTCTCCAGGCCCTCAGCCTGGTGGTTCCCGCTGAGCATCCAACCCAGGAGGTGGATGAGTTGCGGAGGGAGGTGATGAATGGTGAACCTTTGCTAGCGAGTCTGTCTTTTCTCTCCCAGGCATCCATGGCTCCTCCACATCTTGTCTGGATTCTCCATGTCTCTTTTTTTGCTGGCTTTTGTCAGACTTCAGGCAGTGAGGATGAGGATGGAAGATGAGCAGCTCTGTTGAGAAGAGGTTTGGGAGGGCTGTCCCTCGCCAGGGGATGGGATGTATCAGTGGACATCCCCTTTCCCTGTCGTGCTGTCACCCCTCCATGCTTTTCAGAGCAGGAGCAGGCTGCCTTACACATGTGCGGATGCCCAAATACAGCAGTGTGAGCAGGAAAAGCCCTGACAGTCCTTTATGTCCCCTGTGTAGCTGATGGGAGGCTATAGGGTCCACAGCCTTCCAGCTTCAGTTCCAGAGGTGTGCGGAGGCTGAGGACAGGGACTGTCTGGTGCCTGTTTGGAGACCTCTCTGAAATGTGCTTGTGATGCTTGGAGGTATTCAGCAGCAAGGGCTGTTTTCTGGCTGAGCTGGCAGAGGGGGCAGCCCTGGGAGCCCCACAGGAACCCCCGGAGTGGGTGCTCTGCTTGGGACAGCGTGGAAGGACCCTGAGCCTTTTTTGGCAGGTCGATGGCTAGCATTCCCTGGCACTAAAACAGCATAGCTGAGAGACAAACTCATCTCTTCACCAAGTCTCGCGGTTTGTGCAGTTGCCTCCTCTTTTCGGACAGACTTCACCATGGCAAAAAGATCAGGTACTCCCTGTTCTTGCAAGTCCCGAGGCTCGTCTCTGCTGCTATGGCATTGCTTATTTTGTTGCAGTGAATTTGTTTGATGGAAAAGCAGAGCAGTGCTTGCTGCTGGGTCATAGATAAGGCCAGGCCCGCAGCTGCAGCCAGCTCTGCAGAGCATGTGGGAGAGTGTCCCAGGTTTGGGACCGGCTGCCGTGAAGAGTCCAGGCAGTTCTATACCAGGTATATTGTTGCACTGCCTTATTTCACCAAAATTCATTAGAAAACAGGAAGAAAGCAGAAGAGCTTTGGGGAAATCTCAGCTTCACCAGGCTGCAGGGTGGAGGAATTTGGTGGAGCTTGTTTGGAGAAGAGTCCTTTCTGCTTCCTCCCCATCCCACACCCACGAGATCACAGTTACATCCCTTGTGCCGTGCTGGCTTCCAAGGCAATAAAGGCATCCTTCATGCTCCAGCTGAAATGTGCGTGCCACGGCTATCTCCCTGCTCCTCTTCTGCGGTGCTAGCAGCCAGGGTTACACTAATTTGTGTTTAGTTTCCTCCCCAGTGCCGGCCCCCCCGATCCTGCAGCTAGAGGAGTGTTGCACCCACAACAACAGTGCTACCTTGTCCTGGAAGCAGCCGCCCTTGTCGACGGTACAGGTGGAAGGCTACATCTTGGAGCTCGATGACGGCAACGGCGGCCAGTTCAGGGTAGGTGCTTGGAGCACGAAGCTGGTCCCAGCAGCACGGTGTTGCTGCTGGCTCCAGTATTGCCCTGCCATGAAGTGACCAAAGAGTTCCCCAGACTTTTTGCAAGTCCCCTCCTTCCCTGGAAACATGAGGCTCGCTGCTGGGGTGCCCAGGGAAGCCAACAGTGCAGGCAAGCTCTGGGCTCTTTTGGGAGGCAAGGTTATTTGAGGGGATGGAAATACATTTCCAGTGACCCATATGACTTGCAAATGCAAAGAACACATTTGAAGCTCCGTATTCTTAGGTTGCTAAATATTTCATGCAAGGTATGCTAATTGCCATGAAAGACTCATGGTTTGCCAGCTGCTAGCAAGCAGAGGTGTTTAAGGCCTAAGGGCTTTTAAATTGCTGTACTTACACAATTAAAATAGATTTTTCTCTGATCCAACATGCAGATAATTATCCTGGTGTGTTCACATCCACTGAGAGCAGGCTCAGGGACCAGCCCATTGCGTTTTCTGAATTCATCCACAAGAAACTCAGGCAGGCAGGAACCAGAGCAGAGTCGAGGCAGAAGATAGGTGATATGGGTGGGATCTGGAGAGAGAAGGGAGCAGGCGGCTGGGTTTGGGGAGACTGAGGCTCACCACAGCCACACTGGCAAGGTGAGGGCAATTCCCCAGTGCACCAGTCTTCTCTTGTCCCGCCAGCAGTGGGAAGGGGCTTGGATGTGCATGGTATTCCTGCCACTGGGGTTAGAGGGGGCTGCTCCAGCTGATGGGACATGGCTGGTGCCACGAAGGGGAACATCTCTGGCTTCTCAAGTCATTGAGCCATTCTCCTGCCCGAAAACAGTGAGTTGACCATGTCAGGCAGCGATTTGCCCAGCAAGCTGGGAGTGCAGACTGTCATACAGGTGACAGTCTCTGCCAAGAGCAGCTCAGTGTGTAGCCCAGCCTGTTAGCTACCTTCCACACAAACAGGCAGGAGAGACTGGGACAGTGTCCTGAGGCAAGAGGACTCTGCCTTTGGGCATCAAGCCAAAAAGGGGCTCCTTGCAGTGAGCCTGGGGCGGTGAAGTGGGAGCTGTGCTCTCTCTCATGGGGTGCTGGCTGCAGGAGAGCTTTACGGGTGCTGGAGCCCAGGTAGATCAGGGCCACCTTAGCATCCCATCATGAATCTCACCCAGTTTGTTAGGACACCAACATTGTGCTCCTTGACACCGAGCACTGACTTATCGCTGTTCCCACGTCTGCTGTGGCTTGCGCTGCTCCCAGCCCTGCTCAGGGTGTCCGGAGGGGTGGAAGCCATCATCTCTGCTCTGCAGTGCAGGGGAGTGTGCAGGCACCCCTATAAGCTCTGGGGACATGCACCCACCTGCAAGGAAAGAGGCCAGATTCAAGCATTGGCTCTGGAAGCAGCAGCACCCCGTGGCCTCAGCAGCTCGGGCAGCGAAGCTTTCCCACGCCGGCAAACTGCCTGCGCAGAGCCTCCATCTGCACCGCAAAGGGCAGCAAACGGGGCTTTGTCACGGGATCTGCTAATTACAAGTCAACACAGGGTTTTATGAGCCGTGTGTTTTGGTAGCCCATAGGCCTGTTCACCGCTGTCTGTGCTTGCACAGCTCCATTCCTCTGAATGGAGCTACAGCAGCAGAAGCGTGGCACACCAGTGAGTCAGCACCCATTTGGTGTGATCACCTTGTTTTCTTCCAAGGAATGCTTTGATCCTGCCACCCAAGAGCATGCAAAATTGTTTTCTGCAAGGATGTTTCTGTGTCCTGGGCTCAGCCTGTATACATTCTCTGGCAGAGCTCTTCTGGGATTGAGTGGGAGTTTGGCTGGGATTGATGCCTTGTGACTTGGTCCAATACAAATAGCATCCCCTTCCCCTACAGAAACTGGTTTTATGGCGCTGTATTCATAGAATCATACAATGATTTGGGTGGGAAGGGACCTTTAAAGGTCATTGTCGTGGTTTAACCCCAGCCAGCAACTAAGCACCATGCAGCCGCTCACTCACTCCCCCCACCCAGTGGGATGGGGAGGGAAATGGAAAAAAAAAGTAAAACTCTTGGGTTGAGATAAGAACAATTTAATAGAACAGAAAATAAGAAACTAATAGTGATAATGGTAACACTAATAAAATGACAATAGTAATAATAAAAGGATTGGAATATGCAAGTGATGCACAGTGCAATTGCTCACCACCTACTGATCGATGCCCAGTTAGTCCCCAAGCAGCGATCCCCCCACCCCCACTCTGCCCAGTTTACATACTGGACATGACATCACATGGTATGCAATACCCCTTTGGCCAGTTGGGGTCAGCTGCCCTGGCTGTGTCCCCTCCCAACTTCTTGTGCCCCTCCAGCCTTCTCGCTGGCTGGGCATGAGAAGCTGAAAAATTCTTGACTTTGGACTAAACATTACTTAGCAACAACTGAAAACATCAGTGTGTTATCAACATTCTTCTCATACCAAACTCAAAAACAGCACTGTACCAGCCACTAGGAAGACAATTAACTCTGTCCCAGCTGAAACCAGGACGGTCATCTCGCCCAACCCCCCTGCAACGAGCAGGGACATCTTCAACTAGACCAGGTTGCTCAGAGCCCCGTCCAACCTGACCCTGAATGTTTCCAGGGATGGGGCATCAACCACCTCTCTGGGCAACCTGTGCCAGGGTTTCTCCACCCTCAGCCTAACAAATTTCTTCCTTTTATTGAGTCTAAATCTACCCTCTTTCAGTTTAAAAACGTTACCCCTTGTCCTATCACAACAGGCCCTGCTAAAAAGTTTGTCCCCATCTTTCTTATAAACCCCTTTAGGTACTGGAAGGCTGCTATAAGATCTTCCCAGAGCCTTCTCTTCTCCAGGCTGAACAACCCCAACTCAGCCTGTCCTCATAGCAGAGGTGTTCCATCTCTCTGATCATTTTCGTGGCCCTCCTCTGGACCTGCTCCAACAGGTCCATGTCTTTCCTGTGCTGAGGACTCCAGAGTCTGGATGCAGTACTGCAGGGGGGGTCACACCAGAGCAGAGTAGAGGGGCAGAATCCCCTCCCTCGACCTGCTGGTCACGCTTGTTTTTATGCAGCCCAAAGTATTGTCAAGGAACAAATCATAGACTTTTTTTTTCCTGCTTTAGCCATATCCAGTGCTCCTAAGTCTGCGCCAGGTAGCAGAGCAGGGCTGAACCCTGTGCATCACAACCCCAGGGAGCTGTTCTCCCACCCCTGGGACTCGGTGGTCTGGGCACTAATTGTGCTTGCTTTGCAGGAGGTGTACGTGGGCAAGGAGACCATGTGCACGGTGGACGGGCTTCACTTCAACAGCACGTACAGCGCACGTGTCAAAGCCTTCAACAAAACAGGAGTCAGCCCCTACAGCAAGACCTTGGTCCTCCAGACATCTGAGGGTAAGGCGTTGCAACAGCTCCAGCCCAACACGCTCAGACACTGCTCACACGCACGCGTGGGGCCCGTCCAGCACACCCAAGCTTAGCATTGCAATACAGGGAACCGCTCCGCTGGTCCTCCAGTACCTCAGCAATCACTGCAGGAAAGCCAGTGCTGACGGGAGGGGAAAGGTTATGTCAGGAGCTTTGAACAGTGCCAGAATTTCCCTCTCACCCCTTTCCTTTGCAGAAGATGTTCTTTGGGGAGGTACAGTGAGAGGCATCCTGCAGAAAGGTATTTAAAATTTGGTTGCAGCAGGGTTTGTATTGCACAAAGGGAAGCTCAGATGTTTTCATTAATTCCATTTAAAACAAAACAACACTGTCAACATTGCTCCTGAGACACTAAGGGCTGTGCATCGCTGCACAATGCCATGACCACACGACGTCTCCTTCAGCCCCTGGCAGTCTATGACAGAGAGCAGAGGGACCGTGGAGCTGCACGAGTGTCCTTACAGACCCACGGGGTGTACAGCCAACCACACCAGCATCATCTGCATCACTCCCACACTGGCAGGCGCTCAGTTAGACTATTAAATACTCCCTTGCAGGTTGCAGAAGAGTCTCCCCGCCCAACTTTAAGTACATTTATCACACCAGGCACTTAATCCGTCATGGAAAATTGGTTCGCTTCTGACACGCAGGTGGAGAGTCGTAAGGCTAGCTCCGAGAAACAAGGTGGGAGTCAGAAGCAGCAGGCAATGGAGCCGTGAAGGAAGGAATCAGCCCCCACCAGCACGTCTGCCGCCCTGTAGCCTTGCTGCCAGGCGAGAAACCCCTCCTTGGGAGTTTTCCACGCTCAGTGGAATCCCTTTTCCTTAATCCCAGACTAAAATCTCTCTTTCCCAAGCCACGGGAAGATTTTGGTTTGCGGCAGCATCACCAGACCTGGCTGGCAGCTGGCTTAAGAGCAGCAGTGTGTTCCTGCACGGGTTCCCATTATCCAGCTGCGTCAGACACAGTCTGGGGTCAGGAGGGAGCAAAAGCAGCTCGTGGGGCTGCTGGTGGGGCAGAAGGAAGGTGGGAGCCTTCTTGCCACAGAGCATCTCTGGTGGCTTTGAGCAAGGAGGAAAAAGGGTTTTCTGCTGAAAACTGATTTACAGATAGAAGCAGAGCAAGGTTATGCAGAGCGTTTTCACTTGCTTGCCTGCACTCATCTGCAGGAGATAACTGTTCCAGTTCGGAAAGGACACGTGCCAGGTTTGAATGTGTGGGCAGGACAGGCTGGCAAGGAATAGGACTCACGTGTGACAGGTGGAGTGGGGAGCAAACCTGTGATAAATCTTTCTCATACAAGAGGCAAAAAATTCAAATCACAGGCCACAAAGGCCTTGGCACATCTGTCTGAGAGCTACGTGCTTGTTTGCGAAGCTGGACACCATCATCAAGGAAGCTGCAGCGTTCCTCTGGAGATCAGGGATGGGACAACCCAGATCCAGCCCCACAGAGGGGTGGCCAGGACCATTCCCAAAGCCTGAAGGTCAACAGTTCTCACCCACTTCACTATCTGGCTTCACCAGCCTTTGCAGGAGACAGCAGAGCTTTGGCTTCTCATCACATTTGTGTCTTGTAAGACCCATTTGAGCCAGTTTCCTAACCAAAACCAGCTGGGCTTTAAGTTGTCCAAGCCAGGAGTTTGCAGGGGGGTCCCTATGATCTTTCCAGCTCTGCTTTCTTCTCACAGGTGTTTTCACTGTTGATCCAAGCTCACCTATTGTGCAGCTCCAAAATATGAAGGAGCCTGGGAGAAAATAGCTGCTCATGGTCCCAGCAGGCCAGGCTGTGCTTAGGGCTGGTGCCTTGGTCTGCGCCAGCAAACAGACATTTCAGTCTTCTGAGCATCGGCTGAAAGTTTGCTGCATTCAGCCTTTTCACTGAATGGGCTTTTGCATTTGTTATTCCAGCACGAAAGAAAGAAGGAGAAAAAGTCAAATGGGCCTGGAGCATTTTCTGCTCTTAGAGGCTGTCTGAGCTTTTTGGACTCAAAGTGAAATAAATTACATCTCTCTGCAGCTTTCAGATATCCGAGTGATATGTTGAATAGAGCAGCCTTGCACATCACGGCTCTCCAGTTAGGCTTTTATTTCTGGCTTTTACAGGCCTTGCAAGTACTATTTGGTCTGAAGTAGGCTTAGCTTTTCCTTTCAGCCATGCTCTGCAGCTTGCTCCAAAGTGTTCATGCGGGAAGAAGGGACAAAAGAAGAGATGGGCTTGATATGAAAAGAACATCTCTCTGAACAAGGCTGTCCTGCTGTAAGTGGTTATGAGAAGTTCTGCTTAGAGGCTGGTAGTCCTGGCACACAAGATCCTTATCCACAGCCTGTGGAAGTTAACTGGAGTCTTTCTTCTGCCTTCTGTGGGCTAGTGGGGAGTGAAATGTCTTGCAGGGTCTCAGCATCTGAAGAGAACAAGGATGAGAAGAGGGTAAAATTGTGTCTGGGCCTCTGCAGGCATGCCTCTGTGGTCCTGCCCAGCCGAACAGCCAAGGTGAGCCAGCCAGCACCGACAGGAATGACAGCCAGCACCCATGAGAAGTCAGCACACGTGCGAGCCCACAGCAAGCTGCAAAGCACCTTCCCAGCTTATGGTGTGGCACGTCTTCTCCTGCTCATCCCAAAGGAAACTACGTTTTCCAGCTGAGGAGATTGCAGTTCACCTTTCAAAGCTGGTGCTTGGTGCCACTAGCAGGGCAAGGTGGCTCCGGGCTGGGAGAAGGTCTGAAGCCCTTTCCACATGCTGGGCCCTCTGGGGCTTCCCAGAGATGAAGATCCTCATCACCAGGACAGCCAAATGGCAGCAAGGGCTGCCTTGGTCCTTACCTTGAACTGTGTCCTCTCCCTGGCTGATGTCAGGCTGTTTCACAGCCTCTTGCCCTGTCATGTCTTAGCCAGTGCCTCCCAGGACCGTCACTGCAGGCTCCAGGGCACTGCGATGTGGAGCCTGCCTTAACCTCTCTGTTTCTTCAGCACCTGAATGAAGTTCAGCTGTAGGCTTGGAAATCAGTCTGGAAGAAAGTTTGCAAGGTGACCCTGTCCCAAGGCACAGGCAGCTTAAAAAGCTGGGCCGGTGGCAGGACTGCTCGGCTGTCCTCACCCCTGGCAGACCTCGGGTCTCCCCCCGGTCTCCTCCCCCCTGGGCTGGGCAGCCCCAGTTCTCTCGGTCTTTCCTCATCCAGCAGATTTTCCAGCCTCTGGCCAGTCTCCTGCTGACTTCTTTGGGACCCAGTCTGTTTTCCTCCGGGCACATTCCCATTTTCACCCTACCCAGGGTGGGTGGTTCCTTGGTGCATTCATGGCTGTGGCAAGAGCAGCTTCTGAGAGGCTTTGCAGAAGCCCCTGGCTCTGGTCTACTGGTCATGGTGGGATGCAAATGGCTGCTCCCAGGAACAGGCACCTAATGCTTGGTGGCAAGGAACAGAGGAGGAGACCTCCTCGTTGCAGTGGGATTAGAGTCTGCAGGTGGGCTGCTTTTCTCTACAAGGATTTCTGAAATGGCTTCTGAGTCCCTCCAGTGTTGTTTCTTTCCGTGGGCTGTCCAGCAAGCTGGATGGTGGGATGAAGGACCAACTGGCCCCAGGTGGAGATGGAGAAGAGATGCTCGGCAGTGCTGGAGGGGACTGTCCCTGCCTGCTCCCCAGGCCCAGATCTGCGCTCCTGGCTGGTGCAGAGGTTCGACCTCCCTCCTGCCAAAACCTGCTGCTCCGTTCTCACCCTTCCCCAGGTCTCTTTGCCCACACCTTGGCACTTCCATTGGGCTGGTTCATGCCTTCAGCCACGCTCTCCTGGGCATGTGCTGCCTGCAGCCATGCACTGAGAGCCAGCATGGGGGAAGAGCCGTGTCTCCGCTCCCCCTTCTCTCAGCTGCTCTGAGTCTCCAGTGTTAGGCATGGCTGCGGACTTTCAAGGCAAGCCTGCTTTTGGCTTCTTGTATCTTTGGTGAGACACGAGCCTAGGAGCAGAGGATCAGGGAGGAACACCTGGCTTCTCACACTCTGTGTCCTGCCATCCCCTCCCACGGGTTCCCAAACTTGGCCGACTCTGCCAGCACCACCAGCAGCCGCTCCCGGCCGCCTCTGCCACCCTGGGGATGTGGCAAAGGGGCTTGGGCACCACAGCCTGAGAGCCCTTCCCCAGCCTAGTCAAGCACCAGAAGCTTTTATCTTCTTTCAAGCCCAGTTCCTCATCTGGGCCCCAGCTTTAAGTTCCTTACCAGCCGTGGAGTGACCTGCAGCAACAACCAGGGCTTTTTAACCGGCAGCTTTTGGAAAGGGGTGAACAACACAAGGGGAGATACGCTGCAAGGAGCTATAGGAACATAAGATGCTAGTTAGGGAGAGCCATCGGCCCGGGTAGTAGTTCCTCTCACTCTTGGTAGATGTTAGAGGGCACGTCCCTCCCTAACCTTGAGCTCCATTTATTGACCTGTTGTGCAATAATTTATCTAACCCGTGCCTGAACCCACTGACACTCTTTGCTTCCACAGCCTCGCACAGCAGCAAGTTGCAGAAGTTACAATCCACTGTGCAAAGAAATGCTTCCTTTTATCTGTTTTAATGTGATTTCCAGCTCAATCCATATTTACAGCTGAGACAGGAAGGCTGGGGATACAGTGTCCAGGAGTTTATCTGATTTGAATGTGTGGAGGATGGTGGATCCTACATTTTCATGTTAACATATCCCTTGACAAGGCTAGGGAAGAAATTGCAGAAGATGACCATTTGTGGTAGCGGGGAACGGAAACCAATGACCTGAGAGGTTCCCTCTACTCTGACATTTTGCTGTGAATCACATGAGTTAAATTCTTACTGTAAGGCTCAGATGTGTTTTGACAGGTACAAAGGGATACCAAGAACACAACATCCCGAACAACCTTTGAGTAAGGTGGGTGCTTGGTGGTACTTAGGGTAATATAGCTTAGTACAGCCCTGCAAAATGCCTTTCAGTGTTACCAACCAACTAGTTATTACGCCACTAATTATTGTGCACAAAAAGGTATGAGATTTATTAAAGAACAATGGGAAGTGTGCATGGTAACTTGTGAATTTTTTTAGGTGCATTACTGTGAAGAGGTGCAGGACTCACTTTAAAGAAAAGCGTATTGAATTTGTCATGATGACATGGGAACATTCTGGAAGATGAAAATATGTTTATTGCCGATGCTGTCAGAGGCAAGGCTTTCCTGAAGGGTCTCGCTGGGTGGCACAGCACCAGACATCTCTGCTCCACGCACTGTACGCACACTCGCTGCAGCAAAGCAGGGTCCATGCGTGCCGAAGCATCTGTGCTCTGGTCCGAGGTCTGGTCTCGGGCGATGGAGTGACACCGTCCAGCAGACCCGATTTCTGATCTCTAGTTTGCATTGATCTTACGTTTAGACACGCAGTCAGAAGAACAGACCCTCCCTTTTCCAGTGCCTTTGGAAAGATCGCAGCTTCGTAGAATGAGTCCTTTCTCCTCCACCCTTAATCTACAACCCAGCTTCCCGGGGAGATCCTACTTTGAGCTAAGATCTTCGGCCCACCAGCTGAGCTTGCATTCTTCTTTACAGTCCCTGAATTCAGCCGGTGAGCTGACTGCCTCTGGCATTTCCTCTTGGTCTGTGCTTCTGGGCATCTCCAAAGTATTTGTTTGTTTTGTTCCGTTGTGTTTGTTTTTCCCATGACATGCAGATGGCAGGGGGAACTCCTTCTGTTTGTCAGTGGCCTGCTCCTGCCGCGGAGGGAGTTTCAGTGGCATAGTTCTCGTGGTGTTTTCATCTGTACGTACCAGCATGGGCAGTTTCAGGCGTGGGGTGACGAAGCAGCACAGTAACTCCTTACGTGGGTGCTGTTCTTGGCAGGTCCGGCGTGGCTGAACCATTTCGCACAGCCAGCCGGCAGAGCAGATCCCTCATCTCTAGTTTGCATTGATCTTGTGTCTAGGGACAGTCAGAAGAACAGACCCTCCCTGGGAGAAACCCGTGGGGACATCTCGATGGTTTCCTTTCCCTATACAACCAGAAAATGCAGCCTCTGCTGTGAGATTTGTTCTGTGAAATCAGTTCACTGAATTAAATATAGAACCCTCTTAAGAAAAATGCAAGTCTAGATGCAAGCAAGGTCTAGCTAAGGCCAGCTCACAGACCCCTTGCAGTCTGGCTTCTTAAGACCCTGAAGATGTGGGCTCTCGTCCGCTCAGCTTTGAGCAACGGGCTCGGCTTTTGCAAAACCAGACGTGATCGTATCAAAGTCTTGTTTTCTGCAGAGCAGAGGAAACCACTCCCGTGATACCTTGCTCGTCTGGCAGCACTCACAAGCGCTTTGCTTGCCTCCTTGCACCCGGTCCTCGCGGGCTACGCTGGGACATAGGCAGTACAGGCAGAATGAGTGACGGTATCGGGCAGCCAGCAAAGGAGCCGCAGGCGCAGTGCATCTCCCAGAGCTGTTTTCTAACCAGTCTTTGCACATCTTCCGTTGCTAAAGATCCTGGGCCCTGATTCTTCCGCCACTCTGGATTTACACCACTCCATGGGCTCCAATGGAGTAATTCACAGCTTCCTCTGGTGTAAGCCCAGGAAGAATGGGGGCCCCCGATTGTTTGATTTCCATCCCATAACCCGGAATGAGGAATGCTGCAGCATGACCCTTGCCAGAATAACCGGGGGCCCTGCAACTTTCTTTTCTTTGTGCTTTTTATGTTTTTTTTCTCATCGTACTGCTGTGCGCTAATGGCTTGAACTCTGTTTTGTTACGGACGTTTCTTACTTTGTGTCCAGTGTACCTAGATCCACCGCGATGGCCATGAGCAATACTTGTGTGCGCAGTACGGAACTCTGCAGCCAGGGTCTGGGGTGGTGGGGTGAGGCAAAACGGGGTCCTGAACATGCCCGTGTGTCCGTGCTGTTTCACACGCAGGTGAACTTGTATCGCAGCGATGCGCAGAGACCTTGAAAACCACTTTTTGAGTAGGGGCACGGGGCGCGATTCATTAAAACAGCCTCGGGAGGTGCTGCTTGGCACTCACCAGCAGCATGGCACGGAGCGCAACTGCGGCCAGATGCTTTCCCACCAACACGCACGTCAGCGAGGTGAAAAGCCTGCTTCCTTGCCAAAGCAGAGGTGAAAACCAGTCACAGAGCTAGACAGGGGTTTCCTTAAAATGCAGCACCCTTCATGAATGCCTTCCCATGCGGTGCCAACACGGGGCTTCATGTTGCCCTCTCCTCCTGGCGAGGACAAGCTCCTGGATCAGTCCCCGGCTCCCGGGAGATGTTTGCAGCCAGCGGTCAGGCACAGCCCGGTCACAGAAGGATGAAGGGCACCCCGAAGCATCCTGCCCGGGCAGCTGCGGTCAAAGCTACAGCCCGGTGCCCTTTGGGTGCTAGCGGGGGTCTGAGGCCAGGCATCTTCCCCCAGGGACCCCCCCTCCTGCTCCACTCCTGCCCAGATCGCACACACGGCCGGGGAGGGCTCGGTAGTCCCTATTCACTGGACACACCAGTGGCTGCTCTTTTGCCAGTCCCTGTCCTCTAAGGAGTGGGTTTTTTTAAGTGACTCAACTGAGAGTCAATCTAGAGAATACTTACCAAGGGGCCAAGATATTCCGCCAAGGCTAAAATTTCCTGCCTCTTTTCTGGAGGGAAGTCCGATGATTTGGCATCCCGAGCAGTTAGCAATCAGACTTGATGCTCTCGAAGGCTGGGATGGGATCTGGCAGTGAAAGAGCAGATACTCCACACTTCCCAGAGGTGAGACTCCTCAAAACGGCCAACGGTCCACACTCAAACTCACGGATCGTATTGGCGACCCCTCTCCATGCTCTCTGGCTTTTAATGAATCAGGCCTCCCGTGGCTGGCTGGATGCTTAGTTAATGGTTAAATGCTCATGAGTGTTTTTCAGGCGGTTGTTGTTTCTTAGCTGTGATGTGTGAAATGTAGTATCTCTTTATAGGATGCAATTTTGAAACACAAGGAACGCCTTACTCTCAATTAGGCAAGTATATTTATTACAATTAACTGGCACCTACTCCATGTTGCTAATCCTTTTTTTTTTTTTTTTTAATCTTTAACTTCTCTTTGGCGACCAAGCAGCATTTCTTGTACATACCCTGCTTGCAGGGCACTGTCGGACATCATGGCAGTAGGCAAATTTGGAGGAGGAACAGTGATTGCCATATGATATAAAAGCATTTTAAGTTTTTCCTCCATATGATTTTAAAGAGAAGCCTGAAGTCAGTGCTCTGGAAGCGGCCCTGTAATTAAGAACTGATCCTCCTGCTCAAAGGCAATACATATTCCAGCTCATTAAGGGCACTCGAACGAGGGCCAAATGCCGAGGAGGTGATTAGCCCCTCTGCAGCTAATTGGAGCGAGTGCTGGTGGTAGCTGCTTGCCTGTCCCCTTCAGCCTGCCTGCAAGGTCGGGCCCGTTCATTCCCCCGGGAGAAGGAGCCCCGTGCCCAGCCCTGCGGGATTCCCTCCTCGGGGAGCTCGCACACCGTGCCGGCCGGCCTGCGCCCATCCTTGCTCCGTCTCTCCCCACCTTTACGCAAAACGCTGAAATGTCCGTGCGCTCGCTGGAGAAGCAGGCAAGCAGGGATTGTTTCTCGTTCCTTTCTTTACCCAACTTTACGTGCTGTTTTCTCTCCTGCATGCCTTTCCTTGGGAATGACCACAGTTGACATTAAAAAAATGGTGGCAGGTACGGAATTGCCTCCGTCAAGTTGCAAAAGTGGGGCACCCGCGTGCATGTGAGCTGTCTTGTGAAACGATCCAATAAATCGATGAATAAATCTCACCAGAGTGTTTTATTTTTCAAGCCGTATTTACTCCTGCAGGCGTGAGAGTGTTTTGTGGATGTATCAGTTCAATGTTTCAGTGACCGCTGGAGAAAACCACCTGGGGAACCGGGCTGGTGGCTTGTGAAACCCCGTGCCTCTGTCTTGTCGAGGACGTGACACTGTATCTGTCAGATTTGCAGTAACCAAGTCCCGTGCATTTAAACCAGCTGCCGTACCAAGTCGTGGAGGTTTTGGGGCATTTTCCAGCCTTCCCATGAGCTAGCTTTTGTCTTACGTGTGGCCGGTTGCTCCGCAGGGAGGTTTCTCAGTGTGACGTAGCATCTCTGTCAGTGTAGACCTTTGTATGTGCTTTTGGTTCCCAGGACTGCCAGCCCTCAAATACACACACGGTTTATCCGCTCACCCTCAGTCCCCTTCCCACGCTGGGCCAGACCCTGCAAACTGTTGCTTGCATGAATAACCCTTCGTCGTAAGAGTCAGTTACGTTAGCCAGAGCCTGGAGACCTGGCCGGGATCGCACATCTCCTTCTGCTAGGGCCAAACTTTAGGAGATCGCGAGGATCCTGCGGGCTCGTGAGCTGAGACAGACAGACGGTGGGAGGGGAACGGAGAAAGACAGACACCGGGGAGCAGCGAGAGCAAAACTCATCCGAATCCCGGCCATAAAAACCTCAGCCACGCCGGCAGGCTGCAGCCGCACGAGCTCAAAGCATCCCTCCGCGAGGGAAGGTGCCCTCCGTGAGCCAGCAGACCCCCCCCCACCGCTGTGCCGCTGCCTGCCCGCTTCTTGCCGCCGCCTCGGTGGGCAGCAGCCCGAGCCCCCGCCGCGCCTTCGTGCGACGTGTCGGCCCTGCATGCAGCATGCGCTGTTTTCGCGCCCGCTCCACGTGGCTCGGTCGCCCGACGGCTGCGCTCCCGCCGGACTAACCTGATGTTGTTTGTGTGTTCCAGTTGCTTGGTTTTCTTTCGATCCTGCCTCTGCCCATGCTGACATCATCTTTTCTAATGACAACCTGACTGTCACCTGCAACAGCTATGATGACAGGGTTGTGCTGGGGAAAACGGGCTTTTCCAAAGGGCTCCATTACTGGGAGCTGTCAATCGATCGTTACGATAACCACCCCGACCCGGCCTTTGGTGTGGCACGCATTGATGTCCTGAAGGATGCCATGCTGGGCAAGGACGACAAGGCCTGGGCCATGTACGTGGACAATAACCGGAGCTGGTTCATGCACAACAATTCGCACACCAACAGGTATGTGGTCTGGAACAGGGTCTTCCTCCCAGAGACCACAGCCCGGTCACAGTCCAAGTAAGAGCCCGTGGCTTTTCCAGCGGCACCCACAGGCGCCCACGGGAAGGGTGATGTCGCTCCTAATCGCCTCTATTAGAGGATGTGCCCTCATCCCAAGTGAAGGACCTGCCTCCCTGGTTCCAATACTGCTCCGATATTCCTCCCCTGCCTACTGCGACTCTTTCCGTGCCGACTCTTCCCCCGAGCACACGCGGCACCGCTCCCTTCCCGTTAACACCCAAAGCTTTGCAACTCGTGCAACAAGAAAACGGTGTTTGCCTTTATCCCCGTGCCACGGCTATTGCTCGCTTTCCCCATGGGACAGTGGGGCTGGGGGCTTCGAAGCTTGCAGGGGGAGAGCCTGGTGTCACCTTCCTGCAGCCTCAAAGACCGTGCCCTGATGGGTCAGCAGGTTCCCTGATGGGTCTGCAGCTTTGCTCCCCAGGTCCACTTGCTTTCCCCCGTGGCTGTGTTGCTGCAGCTGCTCATGTAGGGAGTTTTGGCCTCGGGGACGTCACGGCAAGCGGAGGGCACCTCTGTGGGAGGCTTGAGAAGAAGGTGCCCAGGGGCTTGTGAGCGTGGCTGGGATGGGTGCAGGTCATGGCCTGGCTCCTGGGTGAGCTGCGAAGTTCGGCATCGTCAGCCCTTGAGGTCCATGCCCTGAACCCTGAGCCGGGAGCACAAGGGACATTAAGCCACAGAGATGCTCTGATCTTCTTCTCGCCCCCGCAGAACCGAGGGTGGGATAACGAAAGGCGCCACGGTGGGAGTGCTGCTGGATTTGACCAGGAGGACCTTGACATTCTCCATCAACGAGGACCAGCAAGGGCCTGTCGCCTTCGAGAACCTGGAGGGCCTCTTCTTCCCCGCCGTCAGCCTCAACAGGAACGTGCAGGTACATGCTTTGACCGTGCTCTCTGGAGCACCGCAGCGGCATACCCTGCGGCTGAGCTTGCTGGCAGGCTCCCTCTAATGCCGCTGTCACTGCAGTGTGTGTCGATGCTCAGCAGCATGGGGACTTTGTGGAGTGGGGAGGGCTCTCCTGCAACGGGGGTGGCTTGGAAAGAGCTAAACTTACACCCTAAACCACCCGCGAGTCTCTAAAATCAGGATGGGCCTTCCTGCAGATGCAGCTGCTGCATCCGTCTCCCCGCTCCAGGTTTCTCCATCAAGGCTGCTGAAGCACCAGCGTTCTCCAGCCCTCCCTGGTCGATGGGGTTTGACAACTCCGTTTCGTCATACTACCCCACAAGAGCCTCACCAGCTCTTAGAGCTCTCCCGGGACCCAGACAGGAGCATTACCAGGGAGAAGGGCACCTTTTAAAGCCTGTTTTCCCCTGGGGAGCTTCAAACCCTTCTTCTCTCCCTCTCTCCCAAGCTCTCAGTTCTCCTGAACATCACCAAGCGGTGGCTCCCTGGGCCTAGCCGGTATTTTCATCTTTTCATTTTTCTTCTCACTGATCTCATCCCTGCTATCCTCTCCCCCGACAAGTCTCCCGTGTTCACCAAGCCTGGCTTTGGCACATCCACTCTACCACCGCTTGCACCTCCAGCACTGCACAAGTGCCCGGGCACATCCTAGGACACGTTGCACATAACAGATGACCTCGGGGTGTCAAGTATTTTGGCAATGTCTTCTGCAGTGGATCTCAAAGGCATCACCTCTGTGCAAAGGCAGAGGCACTGCGTGGCCTCTGGGAATTAGGGATCCGTGCATTAGGGCATGCTCTGCTGTGTTGTCCATTGGGATCCAGGGTGTGCTGTGCTCCAGTACCAAGGCAGTGACAGTTTTCCAGCAACACTGGAGCTGGAAAGACTGGAAAGACTCCTAGCAGACCAGGAGCAGAGGTTGGTCGGTACCATCGCAAACCCCAGGAGCATCCCTGCCAGAGTGTCCCGGTGTTTAATTAGGAAACATTAAAGCAGCGCATCTTGTCTGCCCTGTTTTCAGAGGTTGCTGTATTAATTTGGTGTGGTAAAAACCGACCTGCTTTCTGATGGGTTTAATTCCTACCACAATCTTCTACACAGCCCTGAAAGACGAGTGCGTTTCTAGAGCCCCTCTGCTTTCTGACAGTTCTCTGGGCAAGGCAGAGCTTAAATCCCCTGACAACAGAGAAGTCCCATGGGATGCTGATAAAAGGCTGCTAATAAACCCAAGCCATTCATTATCCTTCTTCAAACGTGTATGAGTAATTAAAAATTACTCTAATTAGGAGGGAAATAATTGTATTTTAGACAAAGTTTTTTCTAAATCTGTATCTGAAGGAGAAAATGGTGCTGTTCCAATAAAAGAAGGAATTGTGCTTTCCTCCCAAATTAAAGCATTTGTGGAGGGAACCGAATTGTCCCTGCGCAGCTCCTCGGTGCCTCTGTGGGTATTTGCAGGACCTGGCCCCTTGCCCGCTCCGTCTGTACAGGCGGAGCCTGCCCGTATCCCTTATGGACCAGGGTTTTCCTGGACACAGTGAGCATCGGGTCCCTGGTATTTCTTTCGCTTTCCCTTTGTCCCTATGTTGCAGTCTCTGCTGTGTCTCTCCCCATCCCCGGATGATGCCGGGCCGAGACCTAGCTCCCATTTTCATAGAATCATAGAATGGTTTGGGTTGGAAGGGACCGTTATAGGTTGCACTTGAGCATCCCCCTAAGCCGTAGGATGGCCTTGCCCCAGCATCCCACTGCTGCTCAGCTTCTCCACTGCAGAGGTCCTTCCTCCCACCAGCAGTCGGCCACGACCCCTCCACTGTAAAGCCTGTGCTCGGTTCGGGGGCTTCTCAGGGGTCTCCTTCTGTACCAAGCAGCTTCAGTGTCCTTCAGGCCCCTCCATACCCTTTTTGTCCATCCCATCTGCAGAAAAACCCAGCTGCTGCCGTGTCCCCCCTCTCTGACAGCTGGCTGTTGGATTTGTCTGCAGCCGGCTGGGAATGTTTGGGGCTTGGTACCCCTGGTGCTTCACGCTGGAGCTGTGTAGGGGATCCTGGCAGTGCAAACAAGTCGTGAAGCAGCAAGATGGAGCCACCACCATGGTCCTGGTGATGGCCTTTCCCACCCACCCCAGGCCCCCGGTGCAGTGGGGCAGGAGGAGCGATGGGCAACGTCTCTGGCCGCATCCTGCCTCTCCCCGGGTGCTGCTCCTGCCCTTCCCCGGGGACAACGCGCCAGCTGCCGTGCCGTGGGCTATCCCGCCGGGCACGGAGGGATGCAGGTGAGCCCCGTATCTCTTCATTGCAGGTGACGCTGCACACCGGTCTGCCGGTCCCCGAATTCTACGCTTCGCGCTCAGCCATGCCATGAGGATGCTCCCGGAGCCGGCTGCCTCTTCTCGAGACGAGAGGAGCCAGCCCGTTCCCTCCTGCGGGACGAGGCCGGCTGCCGAGCCGCCGGGTCCCTGCTCGGCTGCCGGCCGGAGACGGGGAGGCAAAGCGGGAAGGAAGAACCTGGCTTTTGGCCGTCCCTGGTCTCCACCCTCCCGCACTGTCCTGTGTGTGTGCGCGCTTCGCTGTTTAGCTCTTTTTGGCTGATGAAGTACCTAGGTAGCCTGAGATGTTCCTCTGTGTCCGCTTTTAGGTTTGGTTTTATTGATTTGAGTTGGGGTTTCGGGGAGGGGGGCAGTTTTGTCTCGTTTGGCAGAGTGCTTTCCCCTCCCACGCTGCGCCGGGGGGGTGGCCGGAGGGACCGAGGAGGGATCCCCGCCACGGGAAAGCTGTCGCCCACGCCAGCCCCATTACTTTGCAGGATATTTCTTTCCCCCGTGGCCTTTCTTGCAGAGTGCCCTCGGTCATGTGTCGCAGTGGGTCCTGGATTACCAGTCAGTCTCCGTGCCCTTACCAAAACACCCAGCCCTGTCCCTTGTCCCCCTGAGGCGTTTCTGTGGGGTGCAGCGGTGGGGCAGAGGGGTGGCTGCCCTGTCCCCGGGTGCTCCGGGCTCCCGGTGCTCTCCCCCGGCTCCCCACAGCCCGGCGCCGGCACGCGCGCCACAGCCATACACCGGAGAGCCCTCGCCCGGCTCTTTGGAGATTAGCGTTTATTTTTTTATAGTTGCCGTATAAAGCCTAGCCTTAAATACTAACTGATAGTGTCCTTCCGTTCACCGGAGAATTCATTCTGCAGTGAGGGTCTGACGGGGAGCCCGGGGATGGAGATGGAGATGGGGATGGGGAGCCGGGGGATGGAGATGGAGATGGAGATGGGGATGGGGATGGGGATGGGGATGGGGATGAGGGTGGGGATGGGGAGGAAGGAGAGCTGGCCACAGCCCTGCCACGCACTCAGGAATACGCGCCCGCTGCCCTGCCAGCACCTGCTGCCGGCAGCAGTTCCCGTCAGCCTCCACTCCCTACCCTGACTTTCTGGTAATTCAGAGGCAGGAGAGGAGCGGGAGGTCGTGGGCGCCGTGCCCGGTGCCAGCCCCCCGTTCCCGTGCCGAGGGCGTCTGCATGCGCATGTCCCCACGCTTCGCTTTTCGGTCCCTCGCCTTCTCCCGGCGTGGCTGGCGGAGCTGGGGGCGGCAGCGGTGTCGCTGCCGGGTGGGTGCCAGCGTGCCCAGCCTGGCCGGAGAGCTGCAGCTCATCGATCCGGGGTCAGGTGGGATGCTACGGGAGTACCGGTCCAGCAGAAAGACCAGTGTAAATAGACCATTCCCTTCCAGCGTGCCCTCCTCTAGGACGGTCCCATTCGCTCCCTTGTTGCTCTAGTATTAAGTTTACCTAATTTATTGGATGGGTGCTATCTTGTTGACTTACACCGAGGAGTTTCTCTCAGCTGCAGGAGAGCCGTGTTGCGGGACAACGCCGAGCAGCTCTTTGGTGAATTCCTGACGAGCCCCCGTGGCCGGCTCACCCGGGGCTCCTCTCTCAGCCGTTATCCCCCGTTCTTTAGGATGTTCATGGTGCTTATTAGACTCCCAGTGATTGTAAGACGTCGTCCCCCTGTACCGCGATGATAGCTGCATACAGCCGCTGTACTGAAGAGAAGTGTCATGTTTGCTGTTCTAATAAAGGACTTTTACGAGAGAAGGGCAGAGCTTCCCAGAGCATCTCTGCACCGCCACAGCCCCTGGCTTCGGTTCCCATCTTGTCCCCGCCGGTGTGGGTCACCGCCATGCACTTCACATCCCTTCACTGTCCCCGTTGGGGAGTTTGGGGGGCTGAGGGATGGTCTTGGATGCCAAGGAGCTGGGATGTAAGGAAGGAGGGATGGCATCCAGCTGGAGGGAGGAATTACCTAGGCTGGATACAGAGCAGCATCTCCCCGGGGGGACAAGCCGCTGCATCCCCAACACCAGCCCCTGCCTGGAGACCCCATCCAGGACGAGAGATGGTGGCAAGGACCAGGTGGGGAAGAAAGATAAAATGATAGAAATCACAAGGTGTCAAGAAGTGGAACAGCCCAGCACCGTTGCGATGCAGTGCTGGCAACATTAAAATCCCTTGGGGGGGGGGGTCTTTCTTCCAGAAATAGGGGCAAACGCTAAGGAATGAGCGGTGCTGGGGCCATTTCCGAAGGAAAGGCAAGGACGGTTCTCCCAGGGGCCTGAGAAGGACTCGCTGTTGGGATATCGGTGCCTGCTCTATGTTTTCTCAGAGTGCCTCAGGAGAGGTTTTCAATGTGAGGCCTCTGAGCTCATCGTGGGCTAGAGTCCAGGGCTAAAGGAGGAAAACACTAATGCACTGCATTAAGTGCATTTATGTCTCAGAACGATGCTCGTCCCTTCCAGAGAGGGAATGTGCCCAGGACACCAGAGATGCGGGAAATTGCATCCTCCCTGCAGCAAGTAAAACCCAGCCTGTAAGTCCTGCACTGGAGGGGGGGAGGGAAAAACCCCAGGGCCAGAGGACACCCACCGCCCGGGGACGGGCTCTGGAGACGAGGGCAGAGCCACTCGCCAGCTGCATCCCGGCTCCCGACTTCCAAGCTCTTGGCAGCTCTCGGAGCGCTTCGCACGGCGCCATTTGCGTGGCTGCAATTTCCACCTGCGCTGGAGGACGGGTCCCGAACGTGAAATACCTGCTCTATGCACCGAAGCCCTGTCTGCTCCGTCTGGCAACTACTGGCAGGGAAACCATGCCCAGGTTTTCCACTGGGACAATAATCCTTCGATTTGCCCTGTGAAAAACCAGAAGATGGGTCACATTCCTGGGTTGTTGGGTTTTTTTCCATGTTGCACACGTGCAGTTTGGGTCAGTTCCTAAATCTTTGGTGAGCCACCGCAGGCTTTCGCTTGGCGTGGAACCTGGTGCTGCTCGGTCCTGACAGTCGGGGCGCCTGGGTCAGGCGTGGCCCGGCCGGCCCGTAGGGTTCTCTTGCTTTTCTGCTTCGTGCAGTTTAGTTTTGCAGAACTGGGCAGGGAAAACCCTCGAGGCTGGAGGAAGAGGAAGAGGTGTTGCGTTGTGCACTCCCAGCAGCGATTCTTGCCCTCCGGAGGAACCGGGGGCAGGACACGGCGGGCAGCCACGGAGCCCACCCGAAGCGATCCCGGGCTGTTTTCCAGAGGGATCGAGGAGAAGGGGCAGAGAAAAAGTGAGGAGGCGAAAGGAGAGCGGGCAGGGG